CATCTGTTCCCAATGCATTGAACAAGATATTAAAATCTTCTCATTATGAATGTGAATGATTTAAAATATGTTATGAGCGACTAATAAACTTAGTTACGTAAAGACCAGCATTCCTAGACTGTGTGGATGATAGGCCTATTTACCAGAACATCTATGTATTCTTTCTAAAGAAAAATGTTACAAAGCCTACCAGGGAAAGATAAGGAAATTATCAGGAGAAAGCACAAAGCCATGACGGTTATATAGCACTTGGGAGGGATGTGAGGATAAGGAATTGGGATAGAACAGAGGGACGGAATGATGCCCAACCACTTGGATGGTCGAGTATCATTCCTTCCCTTCCTCTTATCTCAATTCCTTATCCTCATATCCCTTCCAAGTGTTACAAAGTCTAAATGGCTAAGCGCTGTCTCCTGATAATTACCTGATCTTACATTAGTGACCCTCATAAATTATTGTCAATAAATTATGAGGGCGAGCACTGAATGTGAACTGTGAGGGGATGCGAATGGGGATTCTTAACAGAGAGAAAAAAGAATGGCATCATTGAAGTTCAAATTCCCTAACATCAAATGGGGGGAACAATACACACAAAAACCACAATAGCGTGATATATCAATAGCGCAGTCGATTAAGGCGCGTCTGGGATCATCCTGGACGTAAGTTCGAACCCTCATCACGGTCCTTGTGGATTTATTCATGGAGGAACAATGTTTGAAGCGATCAACGTAAATGCAATTTGAGATCAACATAATATATCAGAGAATAATATAATATTCACAACAAGTTAAAATGTGGGAATAATGGGACGTTAGCACCAAAAGGGTGTCTTGAGGACCTGTTTTTTTTTTACTGTTTTAAAAGGCTATTTAGATTCTACACTGAAGATCAGCATCTGTATATATAACACTGAAGATCAGAATCTGTACATATAACACTGAAGATCAGAATCTGTACATATAACACTGAAGATCAGCATCTGTACATATAACACTGAAGATCAGAATCTGTACATATAACACTGAAGATCAGCATCTGTACATATAACACTGAAGATCAGAATCTGTACATATAACACTGAAGATCAGCATCTGTACATATAACACTGAAGATCAGAATCTGTACATATAACACTGAAGATCAGCATCTGTACATATAACACTGAAGATCAGAATCTGTACATATAACACTGAAGATCAGCATCTGTACATATAACACTGAAAATCAGCATCTGTACATATAACACTGAAGATCATGGTTTGATCAGTTTGGATTTAGAAAATATATGAAAACACACTGCTGATAACTATAGTTGGTTGGTGTATAACATCTTAATATAGTAGATATAGACGCAAGTTCACTATAATGTTTCGAACTCCGGAAGGACATATATGAATGGGGTTTGGTCTTCTGGTCCACGACTCACATTGACCAAATGATCTGCTTCAGACTCGTTCGTTATTAGTTTCTTACAACAAGTTCCAATATTACGCACTTGTATGACAAAAAGAGCGACAAAAATGCTATTTGTATGTTATTATGTTAAAACATTTCAGTAATGACCAATATCGCTGCAAGGAATACAATAACCTCCTTTAAACTACTACCATACCAACTTCCTCAACAACAACAATAATCAAACCACTACAATTCCTACTTCCACCACCACAACAACGACCTTCAAACCATTACCATCCCAGCAACCACCACATCCACCACTCTTAAACTAACATTCAACCCAACACCACAATAACCAACCACAAACCACCATCGTCCTACAACACCACCAACCACTCTGGACCATATGAAGCCAACTATCAATAAACCGTCAGCCTCCCTTAGTGGTCTAGCGGATGTTGACCAAAATGCACAAATTCGTCCATGCCAATAACCAGTCGACCTTCTCAAATCACTGATCGTATTTTCACAATCTACCAATATTAGATGCAAAATGACCCTTAAATGAACGAACGCCAACAAAGGTTTATGTACAATAATAATTGAGGCCAGTCGGAGCAGCAGTCAAAATTAATATGCACTACACGAGAAAAGGTTTAATGACATGAAGATTGTTTGCACGTGGAAGTTTGCACGTTTGCACCGTGTTAAAAAGTGGTGATGAGTGTTGTGTGTTAGATGGTGATGATGAGTTAGGTGTGTTAAAAGGTGTTAAGGAAGTGTTAGAGGGCACTGATGATTTTGAACATGATAGTTTGTGGTAAGGCAATGTGTTCAACGCTTTAAGTGCAGAGACGTCTGACACTCTGCACTGAGACAGACTAGTGTGACACCAGACTTACCAGTGTGGCACCAGACTGACCAGTGTGGCACCAGACTGACCAGTGTGGCACCAGACTGACCAGTGTGGCACCAGACTGACCAGTGTGGCACCAGACTGACCAGTGTGGCACTAGACTTACCAGTGTGGCACCAGACTGACCAGTGTGGCACCAGACTGACCAGTGTGGCACTAGACTTACCAGTGTGGCACCAGACTTACCAGTGTGGCACTAGACTGACCACTGTGGCACCAGACTGACCAGTGTGGCACCAGACTTACCGGTGTGGCACCAGACTTACTGGTGTGGCACCAGACTTACCAGTTTGGCACCAGACTGACCAGTGTGGCACCAGACTGACCAGTGTGGCACCAGACTGACCAGTGTGGCACTAGACTTACCAGTGTGGCACCAGACTTACCAGTGTGGCACTAGACTGACCACTGTGGCACCAGACTGACCAGTGTGGCACCAGACTTACCGGTGTGGCACCAGACTTACCAGTGTGGCACTAGACTGACCACTGTGGCACCAGACTGACCAGTGTGGCACCAGACTGACCAGTGTGGCACCAGACAGACAATGTGCAACATGGCAAGACCCACATAGAGACCACATACAAATGAACAATAACTCGGCTCCTATTTATCAGAGATAATGATACCTATTATGATGTAGTATCACTCTGGGCCACAACACGAACATAACACGACCAAAATGGATATTACAAACTTCGATATTAGTGGATTCTCCAGCATCACGTCCAGAAACCTTTATGGAATCTATGCAGCAGGATAATCCGTAAAATAAGAAGGAAATAGTCACTATTGATCTGAAGATCAACATAACAATACCTAATGAAAAAAAATTCCGTAGGACAAAGAGATTTGTTTTTACTTGATGAGAAAGTTCATTATGCACAGGTTTACGACGCGAGAGAAAAAGGTGGTTGTTTGGTAGTTATGAAGATCAGAGAAGACTAATGGAACAAGCCTGTTTTAGGGGATTAGATTTTTTCGCTTGATGAGAAATTGTTCAGAAAATCCTTCAGCGATCTCAGGGAGAAAGCAATCAGCTTTCTTTTAGACCGAAAATACTTGAGAGAGAGAGAGAGAGAGAGAGAGAGAGAGAGAGAGAGAGAGAGAGAGAGAGAGAGAGAGAGAGAGAGAGAGAGAGAGAGAGAGAGAGAGAGAGAGAGAGAGAGAGAGAGAGAGAGAGAGAGAGAGAAAGAGAGAGAGAGAGAGGGAGAGAGAGAGAGAGAGAAGATAGAGAGAGACAGAGAGAGAGACGGAGAGAGAGAGAGAGAGAGAGAGAGAGAGAGAGAGAGAGAGAGAGAGAGAGAGAGAGAGAGAGAGAGAGAGAGAGAGAGAGAGAGAGAGAGAGAGAGAGAGAGAGAGAGAGAGAGAGAGAGAGAGGGAGAGAGAGACGGAGAGAGAGACAGAGAGAGACAGAGAGAGAGAGAGAGAGAGAGAGAGAGAGAGAGAGAGAGAGAGAGAGAGAGAGAGAGAGAGAGAGAGAGAGAGAGAGAGAGAGAGAGAGAGAGAGAGAGAGAGAGAGATGGAGAGAGAAAGACAGAGAGAGAGAGAGAGAGAGAGAGAGAGAGAGAGAGAGAGAGAGAGAGAGAGAGAGAGAGAGAGAGAGAGAGAGAGAGAGAGAGATGGAGAGATAAAGACAGAGAGAGAGAGAGAGAGAATGTAATCATCTCTGTATACGTTAAAATTACGTTCTTCAAACTATAGCTACATCCAGGAACCCAAATCATGCCATAAACAATGTAAAAACGTCATTATAGCAAAACGTTTGTATAATTTACTTCTAGATAGACCATCCAGACTCTCTTCCAATGCTTCCCAACTGTTAGAACAATATAATTGTGGACACCTCACCCAGTATCTTGATCAGAGTGACTTTGATGACCTCATAGCAGTTTTTAACCTTGGATTTTTTTTAAGCTTTCCAATTCATTTCAAGTTCTTGCCTTGATCGTGTCGTAACTGATCTACGTGCAAGTATTGATCATTCTAAACCCCTGGAATATGTGGGTTCCTCAGACCCGGCGGCTGTCTAGACTACACTTGCTGTCACGACTGCTTGAGATGAAGAATGACCTGGCTTGAAGACATGGGGATCAGGCCAGCCCTCCGCTCAGTGCTAACAGCAACACAGATAGTCAGGCTGACAGACAGATGTCGCAACATGTTATCTTACAAATTACATCTAAATTTGGATGTTTGCCCGTATGGCCGAAAATGGACGTAATTTGAAAAAGATAAATAACTGAAAATAAATTTTGGATTTTTTCTTCCAAAACAGCAAGTTAAGGGTCCTCTGGTAGGTTAGGAGGGCAGGAAGTTCTGCTAAGGTTTCAAAACGTCACGAAAACAGTTAATTGAAAGTTTCCTCTCCTAACCTAACCGAGTAAGCCGGAGAGACAGACCAGTGTTTCTGTTTCCAAAACAGAAAACGGGACAGTACGTCACTTTTGTGAACCGAATTCATTTTAAATTACGTTCATTTTTGGCCATACGGACAAACGTGCGACAAGCAACGTAATTTTAAGAGGATAGGTTGGATAGATAGACAGACAGACAGGCAGACATTGCATTATGAAAAAATACATTAAGAGATACAAAAAGACTGAAAGGGGCCAAGAGAGAGATGGTCATTGAGACATGACAAGAACAGGGAGGATAAGAACAATCACTACATGTCTGGACTTACACGAAGAATGGGGAGGTGGTGGTGGTGTTCTGGACCAACTGGCCCAGCGTGTGAACTGCCCCTCCACCTCCTTCCTTCTTCTGCTGCGTCCCTCTGCTGCTACTGCTGCTGCTGATGCTGCTGCTTGTGTTACTGCTGCTGCTCTCCTCGCTCCCTCCCCGGCTACTCTCCTGCTTCTGTCAGGGAAGGAGTAAAATTTAAACCATTAACATTAATATATTTGTTTAGTATCAACTTATAATCTCGCATTCCTAAGTTCTATTATGTTACAGTGTCATGAAAGCAGTCCTCACCTAATATTAGTGATTTAAAATACAGTTATGTGTTCCGGCTCTAATTTTCTTGCATTAGAGTTGTGGCTTTAGCGACAATATGAGAGAGATCCTGCAGTACTCAGGATCTCACTCTCTGTCGCCTTCAGTGATTCGTGAATGGGTTCCTTACGACACCCATAACATGTAACTGAATGGCCTCATAAATGACAATCCAAGCCTAATGTAAATGGTAGACATTTACATTTCTCTTATCAACCTCAACTGTATTACAGTGTAGTAGTAGGCATCCTTCAGTCTCGGGAGACTATGGAGTTGCACCCTGGTTGTCAATCCTGGTGCAGCGTCTGGTGTGACTGATGAGGCCAATCCGAGAGTGGCAGTCCATCCCTCACCGAGCACAAACGAAGTCCGATTCTGGTCTGTCTTCCTGGCTACCGACTTTCCTTCTCTGTCTCTTTGCCTCCGATTTCTTGGCAAGTGACTACTCGAACATGGAGAGACCTCTTTGAACAGACTGCCCCCAGGCTGAACGGTCTGCGGCCAGTGTTTCCCAAGTAGCAAGATCGACGTCCATGGCTTTCAGATCCCTCTTGCATACGTCTTTGTACCGTAACTGGGGATTGGCTGTTGGATGCTTTCCCTGCATCAGCTCTCCGTACAGGAGATCCTTGGGGATCCTGCCGTCACCCATTCGCACAACGTGCTCGAGCCAGCGCATTCGTCTCTGTTTCAGCATTGCATACAAGCTGGTGATTCTACCTTTCCCCAGGACGTTGTTGTTTGTTACCTTGTCCTGCCAGGTGATGTCCGAGATGTATCAAAGGCAGCGCATGTGGTAGACATTCAGCTGTCTTTCCTTACAGGCGTGGAGTGTCCAAGACTCACTGCCATAAAGGAGAGTGCTCAGGACACAGGCTCTATAAATCTTAATCTTTGTATACTCAGTCAGAATATTGTTGGCCCACACTCTCTTTGTCAGTCTGGACATGTAGTGATGCCTTACCGATGCGTTTGTTTAGCTCCGTATCAAGAGAGAGGGAGTCAGAGATTGACGAGCCCAGGTATACGAAGTTGTGAACAACTTCCAGTTTGGAATCGGAGATGCCGATGTCAGGTGGGGCGTCCACTCCTTGTCCCATGATGTGACAGGTGCTGACGTCAGCCTAGGAGCTACACACCCCTGGAGACCGAGCTCTTCCATCACGCTCGGGTCCTGATTGTGTTACCTCCTGAAATATCGGGGGAAGGAAATGTCATGCCCGCCCGCTGGGGTCTTTCCTCTCACAAATCTGGGCCAGCTTTGTCTCTTGAGATTGTGAGTGGTGGAGGAGGTGACAGTGGGGGCTTCAGGGTGGGGTCATGCGAGAGTCTGGGTTGGTGGAGGCTGGGTTGATGTGAGGTCCTCCGGGAGTGTGGGGGAGGGGGGACGTGGCGTGACGTGTTGACAAAGGCACTTAATGGTCGTGATACTGAAATTTCGTTACCAAGCAGGTGAGTTGAATGGTGGCTATATACTTTAGGACAGCTGATCATCACGCAGATGACTATCTACATCTAATTCTATTAAACCAACTTAACTTAGTGTTTGATTTTTGTGGCCAATTACATGTACTTTTAGTACATGGGTGAAGCATTTAGAGTTGTGATTCAAACAGAGGTGATCAGCGAAGCACTGTTTGAGAAATGTTCGAACGTCATCCGTTGTCAGTATGTAATTCGTTGTTCACTCACAAACATGGATTTGGGTGGCTGGGTTAACAGCATTTTATTATGAGGATGGGCTGTGTGTTGATGAGGATGGGCTGTGTGGGCAACCGACTCGTGAGATTTATATTAATTCAATTTATATTTTTCGATAGCAATTTGTATGATGTTTAGCGGACAGTATTTCTGCAATATTCTCATAAATCGACTCCTTACACATTAGGGGGGGGTTATATTTAATTTATATATATGCAGCCAATAAAACTACAGTATTAAACTACATATATTAGTAACGATAATTTACAGGCATTATCTTATTGTATAGTAGGCTTAAACCACCAGGTATAATCAAGGATGCAGACACCAAATAATCCTCGTAGTTGAGAGACTACCATTCAACTCCCAAGTAACTGTTGTACCAAGATTATTTCTTCCTTCCTCTTCTATACCTATTAAAAGGATACTTGCGACTATGGACTAACTGTGTGTTGATGAGGACGGGTTGTGTGTTGATGAGGACGGGCTGTGTGTTGATGAGGACTAATGTGTGTTGATGAGGACGGGTTGTGTGTTGATGAGGACGTTTTTGTGTGTTGATGAGGACGGGCTGTGTGTTGATGACGGCCTGTGTGTTGATGAGGACGGGCTGTGTGTTGATGAGGACGGAATGATGTGTGTTGATGAGGACGTGTTGATGTGTGTTGATGAGGACGGGTTGTGTGTTGATGATGACGGGCTTGTAAGTTGATGAGGACGGGTTGTGTGTTGATGAGGACGGGCTGTGTGTTGATGAGGACGGGCTGTGTGTTGATGAGGACGGGCTGTGTGTTGATGAGGATACTCTGTGTGTTAATGAGGATAGGCTGTGTGTTCATGAGGACGGGCTGTGTGTGTTGATGAGGACGGGCTGTGTGTTGATGAGGACGGGCTGTGTGTTGATGAGGACGGGCTGTGTGTTGATGAGGACGGGTTGTGTGTTGATGAGGACGGGCTGTGTGTTGATGAGGACGGGCTGTGTGTTGATGAGGACGGGTTGTGTGTTGATGAGGACGGGCTGTGTGTTGATGAGGACGGTTGTGTGTTGATGAGGACGGGCTGTGTGTTGATGAGGACGGGCTGTGTGTTGATGAGGACGGGCTGTGTGTTGATGAGGACGGGCTGTGTGTTGATGAGGACGGGCTGTGTGTTGATGAGGACGGGCTGTGTGTTGATGAGGACGGGCTGTGTGTTGATGAGGACGGGCGGGTGTGTTGATGAGGACGGGCTGTGTGTTGATGAGGACGGGCTGTGTGTTGATGAGGACGGGTTGTGTGTTGATGAGGATACTGTGTGTGTTGATGAGGACGGGCTGTGTGTTGATGAGGACGGGCTGTGTGTTGATGAGGACGGGCTGTGTGTTGATGAGGACGGGCTGTGTGTTGATGAGGACGGGCTGTGTGTTGATGAGGACGGGTTGTGTGTTGATGAGGACGGGCTGTGTGTTGATGAGGACGGGTTGTGTGTTGATGAGGACGGGCTGTGTGTTGATGAGGACGAGGACTGTGTGTTGATGAGGACGGGTTGTGTGTTGATGAGGACGGGCTGTGTGTTGATGAGGACGGGCTGTGTGTTGATGAGGACGGGCTGTGTGTTGTGTGTGTTGATGAGGACGGGCTGTGTGTTGATGAGGACGGGCTGTGTGTTGATGAGAACGGCTGTGTGTTGATGAGGACGGGCTGTGTGTTGATGAGGGACGGGTTGATGTGTTGATGAGGACGGGCTGTGTGTTGATGAGGACGGGCTGTGTGTTGATGAGGACGGGTTGTGTGTTGATGAGGACGGGCTGTGTGTTGATGAGGACGGGCTGTGTGTTGATGAGGACGGGCTGTGTGTTGATGAGGACGGGCTGTGTGTTGATGAGGACGGGCTGTGTGTTGATGAGGACGGGTTGTGTGTTGATGGGGACGGGTTGTGTGTTGATGAGGCCCGACTGTGTGTTGATGAGGACAGGGTGCGTGTTGATAAGGATGGGTTGTGGGTTGATGAGGACGTGTTGTGTGTTGATGAGGACGGGCTGTGTGTTGATGAGAACCGACAGTGTGTTGATGAAGACGGGCTTTGTGTTGATGAGGACCGGCTGTAAGTTGATGAGGACGGGCTGTGTGTGATTGATGAGGACGGGCTGTGTGTTGATGAGGACGGGCTGTGTGTTGATGAGGACGGGTTGTGTGTTGATGAGGACGGGTTGTGTGTTGATGAGGACGGGCTGTGTGTTGATGAGGACGGGCTGTGTGTTGATGAGGACGGGCTGTGTGTTGATGAGGACGGGCTGTGTGTTGATGAGGACGGGTTGTGTGTTGATGAGGACGGGCTGTGTGTTGATGAGGACGGGCTGTGTGTTGATGAGGACGGGTTGTGTGTTGATGAGGACGGGCTGTGTGTTGATGAGGACGGGCTGTGTGTTGATGAGGACGGGCTGTGTGTTGATGAGGACGGGCTGTGTGTTGATGAGGACGGGTTGTGTGTTGATGAGGACGGGCTGTGAGGACGGGTGTGTGTGTTGATGAGGACGGTGTTGATGAGGACGTTGATGTTGTGTGTTGATGAGGACGGGCTGTGTGTTGATGAGGACGGGGTGTTGATGTGTGTTGATGAGGAGGGGTTGATGTGTGTTGATGAGGACGGGCTGTGTGTTGATGAGGACGGGCTGTGTGTTGATGGGGACGGGTTGTGTGTTGATGAGGACGGGTTGTGTGTTGATGAGGACGGGCTGTGTGTTGATGAGGACGGGCTGTGTGTTGATGAGGACGGGCTGTGTGTTGATGAGGACGGGCTGTGTGTTGATGAGGACGGGCTGTGTGTTGATGAGGACGGGCTGTGTGTTGATGAGGACGGGTTGTGTGTTGATGAGGACGGGTTGTGTGTTGATGAGGACGGGCTGTGTGTTGATGAGGACGGGCTGTGTGTTGATGAGGACGGGTTGTGTGTTGATGAGGACGGGCTGTGTGTTGATGAGGACGTGTGTTTGTGTGTTGATGAGGACGGGCTGTGTGTTGATGAGGACGGGCTGTGTGTTGATGAGTTGATGAGGACTGTGTGTTGATGAGGACGGGCTGTGTGTTGATGAGGACGGGCTGTGTGTTGATGAGGACGGGCTGTGTGTTGATGAGGACGGGCTGTGTGTTGATGAGGACGGGCTGTGTGTTGATGAGGACGGG